AGGGCAACAAATGTACAAATGTGCTTGACACAATGGATGGATGTATAGATTGTGATAAGAATTGCACGAGCACCCAATAAAATGATTTAAAAAAGAAAAAAGAAATAGTGGATGAAGGACCAGGTTAGGGGACCAATCATTATCTCAAGGACCAAAATACAACTCAAATCACTATAATACTTATGAAATGCCTAGATGGAATATGGGACTTTGCTACACCACCATTAAAGTAAGAAAACATTAAGGCTAACAAAGAAGACTTTTGAAGAATGAAAAACTATTGTCTTAACTTTCATGCCAGACTACTTATGAAGAACTATAAATTTCCACTCCCTTTCAAGAATCCTATTAAAGGACTTAAAAGATCCTAATTCAATATATGAGCTTTTTAAAAAACTTTTTTATTAATAAATCATTTTACTGGGGGCTCTTACAGCTCTTATAACATACATCAATTTTTATCAAATGCATTTGTACATATGTTGCCATCATCATTTTCAAAACATTTTCTTTCTGCTTGAGCCCTTGGTATCAGCTCCTCTTTCCTCCCCTCCCACTCTCATGACCCCTTAATAAATTATAAATTATTATTATTATTTTCATATCTTATACCATCTGTTGTCTCCCTTCACCCACATTTCTGTTGTTTGTCCCCCTGGTTGGGGGGTGGGGGGAGTTATACATTGATCATTGAGTCAGTTCCCCATTTCTCCCCCTAATACATGAGCTTTTAACAGATTTATATTTTGAACAAGAAAAGAGAGAAATATATAGGTTGCTGCTAAATGGAACACACTGTCATTTAAGCAACAATTCTTTTTTAAAATGTTTAAACTATATTCACACCATTAAAATCATGGAGTCCTCAAACTCCAGGATGACGAAATGATGTTTTTTAATTTGGAAGCACATCAATACATAAAATACAGGACACACAGATGAGATTGTTGTTCAAATAGCAAAAAAAAAAAATTGTCTTCAGTTGCTTATTAATCCAAGTTGAGCATTTTTGTAACTACTGTTCATATGGCTCTAATGTGCTTGTGTAGCACTCTATAACTCCCAACCCCCAGGAGTTTCTGAAGAATAAAATGTCTCATGAAATTACTTAAGGAGCAATCATGTTTAAATTGAAATGTTGAGTTTCTACTCTGATTGCCCCAGAAATTTGCTCTAGAAGCTGGAATAACGCTTTGCCTGCCTGTGTCCCCACCCCCAACAAATAGTTTCTAAACCTTTACGACATTAAAACCCCTTTTTAATTTATGAGTATCCTAAACAATCTACATATAAGCTGTTGTTACAAAGGGCACAACAGCAGTGCCTCAGGGTGCTCCCCATGCTCCCTCACGATAAGGATGACTGTGCAGCAGTATTTTCACCCAACCGATTTTGATAATGCCAAAATGATACAAGAGTTAAGACAGATAACTTCCAACTCATCAGGAAAAGGATACAGCTTCTTTAACTTTTTTTTAAAGAGGGATAGTCAAGAAAGAGAAGCCTGATGATTAAAAAGTAAGAAGGAAAATGATAAGCCCATCTTCAACATGGGCAGAAACTGCGGTCTTTCTGTGACCCAAGACTGTCCTCTAGAGGCCACACCTAATCCATTCATTAAAAAGATTTATGGTATAAAAATAGTACATGGGAATTCTATATACAGAACTTATGGTAGGTTTGATATAAACTAGATAAAGTTTTATGCTATAAAAAGGGTTTGGGGTAGTTACAAAACTTTTTATTTGGGGATAGTTTTAGGTACAAAGATAGTACAGAGACTAGCTGTAGGCAACCCCTACACAGAGGACCCTAGTGTTAACACTTACATCGCTAGGACATTTATTTCAACTAATGAACCAATATTGATACATTATGATTAATGAAACTTCACAGGTTCTGTTGTTTTTCTAGAGGGTACTTCTAAAATACGGTACATTCCACCATAGTAGAAGAGAAGCAAGAATAGGGCAATAAACCATTTCTGAGAATCTGATAAAAGGAGGGGCAGGTTCTGTTATTTCTAGTATGAGCCAGGTTGTTAACTTTATTAAAGTATCAATAAGAGAGGGTTTTATAATGTTTGTTAAATGATGCAATTATATTTAAATTCATATACCAAATATTATACCATATATATATACATACATACACACGTGCATGTGTGTAGTATGTGGATTATGTGTAGTGTGTGGATTACGTGTGTGTGTGTGTGTGTGTGTGTGTGTGTGTATAGTAGTATATGGATTACATGTTGGTCTGCTAACCATACAATCAGCAGTTTGAAACCACCAGCTGTTCTTTAGGAAAAAGATGAGCCTGTCTGCGCCTATAAAGATTTACATTGTCTGGAATTTATAGGAGCAGTTGTACCCTGTCCTATAGGGTACTCTGTGATAGAATCAACTTTACACAAATTTGATTGTTGTTGTTCGGTTTGGGGTGTGTGTCTGTCTGTGTGTAGGTATACACACACATACCTATACACAAACTGATTATTAGTCAGTTTATCATACGATGGTGGCATGTGTGTTGCTGTGATGCTGGAAGTTACCAGCAGGCTCAGCCAAAGGGGAGACATTTCAGCAGAGTCTCCCGAATACCAAGAAGGAATAAGCTGTCCATTTCTGAGGAATTAGCCACTGAAAACTTCATGGATAACATCAAAATATTATCAGATAGTTGAAAATCTCATGAATAGAAGCATAACGTTGTCAGAGATGGTGCCAGAAGATGAGGCCCGCCCAGGAGAAGGGCATGCAAAATAAGACTGAGGAAGAGCTGCCTGCTCGAAGTAGAGCTGACCGTGATGATACTGATGGGGCAGAGCTTGCAAAAGCCTTTGAGGTCTTCATTTGCTGATGGGTGGATCTCAAAATGAGAAGAAACAGCTGCAAACATCAACTAATCACTGGAACTTGAAACGTACAAAGTATAAATCCAGAAAAATTTGAAGTTGCCAAAAATGAAATGGAATGCATGAACATCAATATTCTAAGCATTAGTGAGTTAAAATGGACTGGTGTTGGTAATTTTGAATCAGGCAGTAATGTGGTTTAATATGCCAGGAAA